AAGAATATATATATATTTTTTAAACTCTTTGTTCTGTGGACATTAAGAATGATTCTTTTGCTCCCTTCTTCTTGGTTCACAATGAAGAACGGAGCCTGAAATAACTGAATCAAACAGCTCTTAATTAATCCGATGGAGATTCGAATCTAAAATGTTTAGAATGACAGTTTATTACTTTATTTCCTAAGTCATCTGTTTTGTGAATAGATTTATATTTTATATCTCGATTTGGTTTTGTTTTATTCGTATACGACAACACGAAACCTGGTCGATCTGCCGAGGAAAAATGCCTCTTGGGAGGATTTTATTGGAAACTGGCCCCTGTTTAGGTGTTAACAACGTGAAGAAAGTCCGGAAAATTCCACGTGGCCAGTTCGTTGGCCCACAACCATTGTTCAGTGGTTTTGTCCATTCGACCAATGGAAGGGTTATGATTGGCATCCGAAGCTCCTAGGAGAAGATATCGTTATATCTCGGATTCTAATTGTTTCTAAAGTTCTGAACAAAACTTTGAAGCAATTAAAACTTTATAAAAATAACACTTAGTCTCCTTTGGATATTTAATAAATAACTTTTATTTAACACTTGCACAACGATTGCATTATAGATAGACCTGTAAACAATATTTGTCATTATAAAACTTTTCAAAAACAACGTTTTGAAGGCCAAACAAATAAATTTTATTTATATGTCCTTCGGAATTAGCATAAAGTTTCTGTTGAGAACAAATCACACAGGAACACTCCTTTTTGACGGAAAAGGTAGCATGGTTTTATACGTTTTTAGGCAGTATTAGTGCGATATTCCGAGTCAAAATATTGCTCGTATGTACCGGTTAAACTTCATTTAGCATTTGATTAGTATAAAATGTTTATGTTATTAGATATCTTCATCATTATGAATGGAATTTTTATTCAGTGTTTGATCATTTGTTTTAAAAAATAATTTAGTTTTTAGTTTTTTGTTACATAAAATTTAAATATAAGCAAAAACATTTCACAAAAAATAAGTTATATATTTAATAAAATTCATTTTAATTTTTAAAATAAATTCAGGATACAAGATCTTTTATCTCATTTATTTACTCGTGGAATTTATACAGAATCTTTATCGATTCAGTAAAGTTCAATTATGTTACTTTTTGTGTTATTAAATTAATAATTATGAACTTTATGATAAGAAAATAGATTTTTTAACTTATAAATCTTTTCTGATTTATAAGATAATTTACTTTGACATGAAATAAATTAAACGTTTCTTAATTAAATACAGTTGACCCCTCTATAACACTATTGATAATTCCGTTTTATATGAATTCCATTTGTACGAGTCACTTAGATTTTACAAATACGTGAGCCGTTCACAGCCCAGCACACGTATTTGTAAAATATAAGTGACTCGTACAACATGGAATTCATATAAAACTGTATAGGGGGTCAACTGTATGCACGTTCTACGATTGTTCATTTCAGTAAAAAGGTGTAACTAGAAGAATACAATATTAGAAATATTTTATTATACAATGAATTAGAGATGTAACATATTAACCAAAAATGTTTTCATCTGTTTAATTCTATACAGATATCAATTTCTCATTTTAATTCCTACTTCTTACATCTATATACTCATAAATCATTAATTCTGGATTAGTAGACCTTTTCTTTCAATAAATAAAAATTAATTGTTGAGAAAATAAAACTTTTTTCATGGATGATTTAAATTTAAACACAGAATTTAATTTTTAATTACAATAGTTTTTAATTTAATTCATTTTAATCTATGCATTTCGTACTTTGATACAATTAAAGCTATATATTATAGAAAATAAACGCTAAATCATGAATAGTTTCATAATTTATTCTCTTTATTTCAAAGTTTATGAGTAAATAAAGGTAATTATTCTAGTAATATTTGATTAGAGTTTTGAATAAAATATATTTAACATATATTCATCATTTTAATATATTGTATTAATACAGAGATATCTATTGATTAATTTCAGATGAGTATTCTTATATTGATCTTATTTTTTAATATTAATTTTTAATAATTATCTGTCTAAAGAAAATAGTCCAAGAACTTAAAAGATTCAGGTCATTGTTTTTATTTAAATTTTAAAACATTTAAACTATTGTAGGTTGAACCTGTGATGGACTTATTATAAATAGTGTCTTGATCAGGAACGATTTATGGGTACGTTATATGCCCATAAATCATAAATACCATATAAATTTAAAGTAGAAAATGTTATACTAGAATTTCTTTATATATATATTTTTTATAATAGTCTATATTATATATAGTTATACATTTAATTTATAGCATTTAGTTTTTATTTCACTGACATTAATCGCTAAAGAGGCCTCCACAACTGTAATTTCCACACAAATAAATCCATCAGTGCTTTTGATATCCACAAAAGTATAATTAACTTTTGGTTAACGTTTACTTTTACGTTTAAAAAATAAATANTTATTTATAAATAGTTTAAAGTAATAGAAAACTGTTATTATTACTGTAGTTAATAGATTTTCAATTACTAAGTGTTTACAAAATGAAGAATATCGTAACGAAAGTTGTGAATCTACTTGCGATAAACTTTTTTCTCGACCATGTTACGATGAAGAAATGTATTCCGGGTGTTTTTGCAAATCAGGATTTGTAAGAGATGATACAACTGATAAATGTTTTCCAATTGAAGATTGTAGCAAACGTACGTACTCTATATTTATAGGTTTTATATATAAAGTAAATAAAGTACGCTTTAATAAGTATATTTTTAATTATAAATTAGGTATATGTAAAAAACCGAATACGGAACTTTACCTGAAATGGAAAATTACGATGTGTTCGGGACCCGGAACCACAAGAACTTATAATTATCCGCAAACTATTTTGCCTATTTGTTTTTGTAAAGAAGGATACGCTTCATATTTTGGTGATTGTGTTCCTGTATCCAAATGTATGGTATGTCAATTTAATTCTTTAAAGAAATATTTTAAAACAAGAGAAATAGACAGAGTAATTTTAAAATGAGAAATTACTTTCGATCAAATTACTAGAAAGATAAGATATTCGTTTACACTTTCAAAAGAAAAAAAAAAGAATGAAGTTAATCCTCATAACATAACTTTTAACGTTTGGAAGGGAGATTGTACTTTATATGACACCAAAACGGTATAAAGGAGGGAGTCAGAAAGTTAAACTAGAGTCATTTAAAGCGGATCACGTGAAAGAGGCGCAAGTAAATCCCGACAATCCCTCAAGAAGCGACTATTACTCATAGCAAGAGAAAAGTAGCCGTTTACTCACAGAAGGTGAGAAAAGACGTTTCACACGCTGACATGACCGGATATCTGCACGGCCAATTTTCTGGATGGCTTGCTTCTCTTTCAGGCATCCCCTGCCCCCGATAGCTAATAACGTACAAATGTCCTATTCCGTCACCACCTGTGTGGACATGACGTCACACCAGTTAGTTGCAACTTTGTAACACACACACACACACACTTGTCTGATACTTCTGAAGATATTAATCAACGCTCTTCTATTAATTTATTATATATGATTTACTAAACAATCGTGTTTTAGTTATTAAACCTTGCAAACCGCGGATTATCTAGGGTGCTCGAATGTTCGAGTTGTCTGACGTCACGGGTAACGCCTCTGCCAGCAAGGGTGAAGTGGATCCCTTTTCATCTCGTTATCCCGGGTTAAAAGGTCGTGTCATCATTCGTTGTAGAAGCGCAGTGCCAACAGGATCGCGTTTAACAATGGTCACGACGGGAGGTTGATCCTATTGTCTGCTTTGCTTCCATGCCAGATGGCTCGTCGTATCTCGGTGTGGCTTAATCTGATTCGTGAAGATGAAAAGGAATGTAAAATTACACTTTTACACTTATAATTAACAGTTAAATTACTTAAAAATTAATCTATTTGAACGAAGACGTCNATACATTTAATTTATAGCATTTAGTTTTTATTTCACTGACATTAATCGCTAAAGAGGCCTCCACAACTGTAATTTCCACACAAATAAATCCATCAGTGCTTTTGATATCCACAAAAGTATAATTAACTTTTGGTTAACGTTTACTTTTACGTTTAAAAAATAAATAGGCTATACAAATAAATGAATTAAGATAAAATTTTTTACTATAATTATAAAATACGTCTCATTTATTTACTTATTTAGCATTGAAAATTACATTATTTATGAGAGTGTAACACGTATTTTAAAAGCGCAATAACTCTCTCTCCCTCTCTCTACTTCGAATTTTTCATCAGAATTGCTGATAAAGATAAAATTCAGCCTTTATAACATGATCATTAGTCATATAATAAAAGTTAGTTTATTACACGAACTCAAATTATATAATAGGCCCATTGATTAGAAATAATTTATCGATAATGTCATCAGTTGGAATTTTGAACTGATCAAAATTCCAACTGATGATATTATCGATTTGAAAATATTAATATAATTTTTGTAAAGAATTTCAGTGTAAGAATAATACAACATTAACTTCAGTCATTGAGTACAGAAATGAATTTTTATAAACATTCTATGGTATGATTCAATCAGTTTAAGTCGAAATTATCATCAATTTTGATGTTTTTTAATGATAATTTAATAAAATTTTATAGTTATTACTTATAGAAATTAATAAAATATTTAAAAAAAACTAATACACTAAAAGCTCCAAACAATGACCACTCCCATTAACGAGTATATAAAGTTTCGTAATTTTCAAAATTTACTTTCAAAATTAATTAAAATACATATAATATTTCTTTATAACATATCAATTTAATTTATTAAGTTAAAATTTGTGTATTTCTAACATTAAATATAAGATTTTTCGGAAGTTTCTTACAATTTTATATGTAACCACATACTTTTCGTTAGATTAAAGTTAAAAATCTAATGTTGAAAATTATTGTTTTTGTAAACAAATCTTCTTCTTGTGAATTAATTTTCTCCTATTACCTTATTACAGTGGATAGTGACAAATTGTGCAATAAGAGATGTGGACATATAGCCTAATATATAAGAAACTTAACATGTAACTTGCATCATACATTATTTTGGTTAAGCTATATGAAAATGTCTAATGCTTGGAAAATAATTTTACTTGTCTGTGGAATAAATAATATTTTTGGTAAGTTATTCAATTTTTATGTTTTTGACCAAATTTAGTTTAGTTTTTATATATAAAAATATAAAAAAATCTAGCAGAAATAGCCACGAATACAAACGTTTGATGCTTTATATTTCTATTATAAATTTAGAAGCTTTAAAATAAATAAGACTTTAAAAAAATATGATATTTAATTAAATTATTCTTTCTTTATATATTTTTTATACATAACTTCGATAATACTTGATGAAAGAGTGTATCTTACAATAGGAAAAGAAATCCACACAAGCGAAGAAAATTGCGAGAAGAATGAAATATACATGAAATCTGGATGTGAACAATTATGCGACAATATCTTAAAGGGTCCTCCATTTTGTTCAAATAACGAAACACGCAAAGGTTGCTTTTGTAAAACAGGATTTGTAAGAAATTCTTCAGATCATCAGTTACAGAAAGAACGTAATCAATGTATATCAATTGAGGAATGCGGCATTCGTAAGTACAATTTATATGTCATTTATTAATTAATTTTTTAAAATATTATCATTAATTAAGTTAATAAAAGTTTATACAATTAAAACGAATCTAATTATATAGGTGTTTGTACACACTCCAATACAGAATTAAATTTTGAAGGCCGTATAAATTTCTGTACAAAGGATGGTATTGTGGGGAGTATTAAGTATCCGCTTGGATTTCTTTCAATTTGTAATTGCAAAAGGGGATTTGTTTGGAAAGACTATATTTGTATACCCGAAACTGAGTGTAGGTCAGTAATTTATTTAACAATATGAGAAAGTATATATATATATTTTTTACATTAATTGTTTCAGTGGCAATAATTCAAGACTTTTCATTTGTTTCAGAAAATCTTTANTTGAAAATATTTTTTTTCAACCAAAATCGTAGTAAAGCTTAGAAAGTTCCAAATAGAATTTTAAGCTTGTAAAGCAAGAAAAAAAAGCTAGGCTAAAGTTAAGAACTTCTCTAAAAGATTTACAAAAATAAACAATAAAATAAATCCAGTTTCCTTTTTTTTATACCTCAGGAACAATAACAATGTCTTAGAGGATTCGACCTTTATCTTGAGGTTCTCATTCACCTCAATATGCAAAACACGTTTAAAAATTCCTCTGGAGATAGTACAATTATAAAAAATATATTATTGAATATTTTTTAGTATACTTGTCGTCTTTACTTTTTTATCAACAATATTCTTTTTCTATATTTTTTCGTGTAGAATCGTTAAATCGATAGGATTTTACATAATATATATTATATAAATCTGTTCTATGCTAAATCTAAAAATCTGTCCTAATTTATTGACATTGTTTTCATTATTGAAATTAAAAATTGCAAATTTGTATCATTAATTACCGTACAAAAACGTGTATATTTTAAGCAAATTTAATGAAAAAGTTATAATTTCTAATGATCTAATTCATACGTAACTGTATCTAATTGTATGAAAACTCATAATTAATTCAGCTCCCATTGGGCGCAATTTATTCTACATAGTGATTTATAAATCACAATAAGTATAACATATAGAATGCTAATCGCCTAGAAATCTATTATTCTTATTTTTTATTCTATAATTTAGCACAATGACTAATTATTTGTTTTATTTTAAAAATTTTTAATTATTTTTGAGAATATTTTAAAGGAGATTACAGAGAAAAATACATAAGCTTATATTAAATATAACATTCCAATTCGGAATATATACCATAACAGAATATCAATTGTTTCAAATAGAAAATCTCACTTAACATAACCTACATATTCACTATCCTCACCTTTATTACTATTCTTTTATGATTTTTCTTTATACGTATTATAAAAGTTTGAATAAATAATAATTAAATAATCGAATTATGCCGTAACTTCACACCAAATCTAAACTGATAATCGAGAAAAATTAACGAAATATTTCTGTAGCAAGAGAAATGAATCATATGTTCGATCGATATTATCAGACAGAAGTTTCTTTTTTAGTTTTATATACTATAAGTCGATCCGAGAGAAAATAACGTAGAGTTTTTCAAAAGTAAAAACAATAATAACAGCTTCTATTATATTAAAATGCATAATAATATATGTAGAAGAGAAATAAAATAAATAATGGAAATATTCTGTGAAAAAAGCTAAATATGGTGAGCCCAGAGTGCCTATTCCATGCCTAAAGTTTCCCCTATTCATCATAAATGTGATCATTCAATAGAGAAAATATGGCAAATAGATTATATTAAAATGAAAACACTATAAAAATTACCAGAAAAAGAATGGAATCGATGTTCATTAGTATACGAGAAGTAAAGTAGCTTCGTGCTAACATAATGTATAGGCTAATAGAAAATTATAAAATGTTATAATACATTTGAAATTTCTGACGTTTTTCAAAAAAATTTGAAATAAAAAAATTAGTCATACGTNTTGATTTAATTTAATAAATGGCAGCAATGAAAATTCGATTTTAATTAAAATACATTTTTGCATTCATTAAAAAGTAGTGTCAAAATAAAAACATGACCCACTTTTTCATTCTCAAGGAGAAAAATAAAATGCATTAAAAGAAATTCGTTTTGATTTCTTCTTCTAGGTTATAGAAAAATTATATTTGCTTAATTATAATATATAAAGAAAAAATATATATATTATTGATAACGTATTGTCTAGATATTGTATAGACATTCACTTCTATATTATTCTCTTTAATTCTTCGCTTATCAAAGTTCACGTAGAGACTACTTGAACTTTAACCCAAGCAAATACGTCATGGCACCATTTTTGACAACTGAAGTGTTGAATTTGTTTCGGTTGCATCAGCATAATTTATCATTGCAGAACATGCAAAGTATCCTGACTACTTTTCCTTTTTTAATAATAGATTTTTGATAAATTCTCTTTAAAAATTATAATTATTGTTCATGTTATTATGATTTTACATTTACATTTTTGATATTGTTAAACAATTATCGAATTTCTATANTCAAAAGTAAAAACAATAATAACAGCTTCTATTATATTAAAATGCATAATAATATATGTAGAAGAGAAATAAAATAAATAATGGAAATATTCTGTGAAAAAAGCTAAATATGGTGAGCCCAGAGTGCCTATTCCATGCCTAAAGTTTCCCCTATTCATCATAAATGTGATCATTCAATAGAGAAAATATGGCAAATAGATTATATTAAAATGAAAACACTATAAAAATTACCAGAAAAAGAATGGAATCGATGTTCATTAGTATACGAGAAGTAAAGTAGCTTCGTGCTAACATAATGTATAGGCTAATAGAAAATTATAAAATGTTATAATACATTTGAAATTTCTGACGTTTTTCAAAAAAATTTGAAATAAAAAAATTAGTCATACGTCATATGACGTGGTATTTGAAATTTCTAAGATTATTTTTGAAAATTTAAACATCATGTTTCAAAGAATTTTCATTGTTAAGCTGTGATACACATTCAAGATCCAGCTCATTTACTCAATTCTTATTGTAGGAAATATAGTAATACAGTAAAGAATTGACAGATTTTAACCATCATAGTTACAACAGATCCACAATTAATTAAATTGTTTTATAATTTTTCAATTGGCACAGGACAGTAAAAGTGATACGTTGCTGATTGTGCTCCTCTAATTTGTCATGCATACTTTCCTGGTATCGAAATCAATATTAAGTGATGTCATTCTCTTTGAAAGCAATGAAATTTAAACGAAAACTGTGCTTTTTAGTAATAACTTTTAAGTATTACATTTAAATTTCAAATTATCAATTGATCAAAGTACATAAAAAGAAAAAAATCTTCGATTCTTTTTCCAAAAACATAAATTTTTTTTTTAATCAATAAGAAATGAAAGAACAAAAGAGAATAAACTGCTAACGTGATCGTTTTGTTCAATGATCTCAACAAGAATGAAAGAAAAACTGAAAACTGTTCTATATAAAGATTAAATTTTGTTTATTTATTTAATAAAGATTAACAAGAAAAAACATCTTGTATTTTAGAAAGTTTTTACTTATATTGATACAATTTATACAGAATAAAAAATAAAATACTTTATAAAGATAATATAAAAGTTTATCTCTACAAATTTTCATTTATATACTTTAAAAAAGAAAATTTTTAAATGCTTATTTTTATTTTAAAAGCCGGAAGAATTGTCACAAAATTTAAAAAATAAACCAAATTTTTATTATTAAATTATTTTCCTAAAT